TTATAAACGGTCTATCGGGTATCAAAAGGATCTATCTACATGGGTCTAACGGAATTAAGAGGTTTTGCGAGATCAGGGCTGCAGGCTTTGGGGTTCAGCACTGGCCTGACAAGCCTACCGTGAAAGCCGAAACAAACCTGAAGCCAAATTCCTAGAAACAGACCACATGAGCCACACCAAGAGCAAACATCTTAACCTTCGTGCTGTTAACAGCATTGCTGCTGTGGCTTATGCCTGCTACTGCCACTGTATGCACTGCTGCTAGCATACGCCAGAAGCCAAAAAACCTTCGAGACATCTACATATGATCGAAAGTGTTCAAACCTGCGCCAACCCTCGCCCCTTCAACCCTCTGTCCTGAGCCTTTTTGCAGGAAGCCCCCAACCTCTCAACCTCAAGGGCGAAGCCCCACGGCTCTGAGCCCAGGCCCCCGAAACATGAAACGAATCACGCGAAGTAGCCAACCGTACGAACGGCAAAGAGCCAGATACTCCGCGTGCCACTCCTGCAGCCAAGGTTGCGGTGGCAGCCGTGGCTCTCTGCAGTATGCTGTGACCCCAAGGGTTTAGGGTTTAGGGTTTAGGGCCCCAAGACTACAGAAGCCGCTAAAATCCCTAAACCGGGGCTTCGGCTTTAGCAGGGGCTCGGACTCCTCTACACGGGCACCTCCGAAGCCGAGGATCCCCGGAACTCACGACTTTCCCGAACCGGGCTTTAGATAGTGTGTGACATACAGTACCATACATCTACTTGGAGGTTCATGGGTAGTTATAAGGAGGGTTATAAGTAGGCTAGCTATAGTGACAACCTAGATTAGGGGACATATAATTCACTTATAACATCTTGTAACTACCCATGAGCCTCCAAGTACTATATAAATGTTATAAAAACGACGAGGTAACCTGCAATGTACTAAGGTACTGTAGCATGTACGTTTCAGGGCTTGAAGAGAAGCTTGCGGTTTGGTCGCCTCTAAAACCCAAAACCATAAACCCTAAGCCCTAAACCCTAAACCCTAAAACCCTAAACCCATAAACCCTAAGCCCTAACCGGAATCCGTCCATCTCCCTCCCGAAGTCTCGCCTCCTCGCCGCCTTCGAAGCCCAGAAGCTGGGCCATGCGAAACAGCTGCTGGCTGCCTGAGGGTTTAACGTTCAAGTTCACTGTAAGATAAGATAGTACAATTTACTTTAATGTAATAGGGTTTAACACAATAAAACATCATACTGTCTGGTAGAATATACTAAAGCTATATGTAATATCATAAACACATGATATAACATCATAGAGTTTAATATGTATCATAAACCATAGTATAGTGTAACGTAACATGTAACATAATACAGTACAACAGGATAGAATGTAAAGAGAAGCTGGTCCAAGGTCTCTGACGCGGAGATATCGTGCCAAGCTTCGGGTTCGGATTTTGGGCCCCATTCCCCAAAGGTGAGTGCACTTGGTGGTGTTTCCTCCTGTTTTTTAGGGGGGGGTTTAGGGTTGGGTTCTCTTTCCTGTCTGACGGTCGTTTTGAGTCCTTTTTCCGACCTGCGTGCCCCGTCTGTGTTCTCTTTTCCCCCCCTGGTTGTCGTTTTATGTCTTTTTTCCAACCTGTCACCTGCATGTTTGTGAAAAAAGCCGTCGACTCCACAGTGCGCTTGGAGCAGGCGGAAAAAAAGCAGCCATGGGGATCGCCCACCTTTCTGGCCTCGACCCCCGGAGCTTTTCCGGTCTTTGGGAGAAAACGTCTTTCCCCCGCCTTCTTGGGGCGGAACCGTGGGAAAGGGACTAGAGAATCTGCGATAAACTAGCGAACCGCTCGAAAGCGAGGTTAACTGCTATAGGAGAGGAATGCTCGAAAGGGGCTAGGGAATCTGACAAAACGCAACGAACCGCTCGACACAGGAGCGAACGGCTCGAAAGAGACGAGACAAACTGAGAAACAGGAGAGAAACTGGGAAAGAGCAGCGAAAAAGAGTAGCGAGCCAAACGTAACGGTTTAGAGGGAATCGAAGAAAGAGGAGCGAACCGCTCGAACAGGACTAGTGAATCTCAGTAACCGGTCAAAAGGGACTAGACAATCTGCCAAACAAAAGAAAACTGCTCCAGTCCCTGGTTTTGCGCAACAAGCCAAGCGTTCGAAAGGGACTAGGGAATCTGAGACAGAGGAGAAAAACCCGTTCGAAAAGGACTTCAGATCGGAGTATAAGAGGAGCCGAACCTTTCGAAGCAGACTAGAAAATCTGAGATAGATGAGCGAACCATTCGAAAGGGACTAGACAATCTGACAACGAGGAGCGAGCCGTTCGAAAAGGACCAGAGAATCTCAGAAAAGAGGAGCGAACGGTTCGGGAAGGGACTAGAGAATCTGAGAAAGAGCAAAGCGACTGGAGAATCTGAGAACGAGGAGCGAATTTTGCGAAACGGACTGGGGAATCTCTGAATGAGGACCGAACCGCTCGAAAAGGACTAGAGAACCCCAGAAAAAAGGCGAAGTGTTCGAAAGGGACTCATCTGAGAAAGAGGAGCGAACCATTCGTGTTCTTTTTCCCCCCTACTTGTCGTCTTGGTTCTTACAACCTATCTCGCCTGCATGTTTGGCAAAACAAGCCGTCGACTCATCACCAGTGCTGTCGTTTCGGCTTTGCCCTTGGAGCAGGCGGTAAACGAAAACAAGGTGCTCGCACACTGCTCTGCCCTCGACCCCCGGACGTTCGTTTGCCGGATGGTGGGGGGAGAACCTTTGCATTGATCGCTGTGGGGCCTTTGCACCTGTCCCGGGCTTTGGGTTCCTGCCTGGGTTCCCTTTCCACCTGTCCTGGATCTTTGCCGTTTCTGGCTGCACACGAGCCACGAGCGGCACCCCTAAAACAACCATCGACCGAAGTGTCAAATTTTTGGTCTGCCTTCCCAAGAATCCAGCCTGCCCAAAGCCTGGGACTGAAGACAGCTGGTCGCCACATGAAGCTACAAGGCCAAACACCCATAAAAATGATAAAGGCTGCACAACGAGGATGTACTAGGCAGATACTGCTTCAGGAGTGAAACTGTGGTTTCGGTTCAGAGCCGGGCATGCACGCCCAAGGACCACAATGTAGAGTCAGCTGTTCAAAAGATGCTGGGTCCCCTCAAATCCCCAAACCCGCAAAGCCTAAACCCCTCAATCCAAAGCACATAAACCCTCAGCTTCGATGTCCCAAGCACCCCAAAACCCGGGGCCTCGGGTGTTAACTGTGGGCACCCTAGGGATCGTCCAGGAGAACAGACAGCGCCCGGAGATGAAACGGTTTAAAGGTGGCTTAAGACTCTTTAACGCCTAGAGTTTGGGTTTAGGGTTTAGGGTTTGTTAGGGCTTAAACCTTACGTTTTAGACTAGGGGTTGATGGATTTACAACCCGCGCGCCTAAATAGCCTGTCTCCTGGCCGCCCAAGGCGTTGAAGAGCGACACCAGAAGCTCAGACCTCAAGGAGAAGCCAAGCAAACCCTGAACCCTAAAACCCTTAAAACCCTAAACCCAGACCCTAAAACCTACAGTAAAGTCCGAAACCCTAAATCGTGGTTTCGTCCACCAAAGGGAATAAGAACGAAAATGCAAAACGACATAGTGATGGCGGTGATGATCAAAAAGGTGATCCTGATAGGAAGCAAGATGCTATCATGTTAAAAGCCGGTGGGATCTACGAGCTCTCAGCAGCAGCATGCAACAAGAGTTTAGTTCAAGATTTGGGATTGTGACGCAGGGATCAAGGTTCGTTTTAAAGTCTTAAAGTCTGCGGAGGAGATCCCTGCAAACTTCCGCACGGATGTTGCACCCAAGATAGCAAAAAGAATAATCAAAAAAACTAACAAGGATTCAATCCTAAACTTGAAACTTTTTAATGCCGTATAAGACTTCCAACTCCTAAACCTAAGCGGACCTAAACCTAACCCTTAGCCTAAACGCCGAACCCTAAACCCTTTTATGCAGACCGAAACCCCTCCCCCAGCCGGAATTAATTTCGTGCCTTATCATTTACTGCATGCTCGGGATGATAACACACAACCGCCCGTGACACGAAAACGATGTACAGACCAAAAAAGAAAAAGCAGGCAACAGAGAAAACAACGCTGTCACCGAAGAAGCGCTCCGTCGTCTTTATGTCCTGCTATGCACAACAAATGCTGCAAATACCAATCCAAGTGGCCACTGGCGAACTTGCGAAAACTCTCAGAATGCCTTGCCCCCCCCCCCTTCGCACCACGGGGGGATAAAATTCCCTACTCGTTCTCGTACTTCTTCTTTTTGTACTGCTATAGTTACGACGACAACGAATCACATTCCCACTGTGGCACCAAAGCCAAAATCATCACGTCAGAAGTTCTTTCGAACTAGCGACTGCGATCTTCTTGTGCCCACCAGCATGAGGACAGAGATGGCGGCAATAGATACGATGGTGACAAATCCTGTCAAGGTCATGCTAAAGATAAGGTTGATAAAGATTCTCCGCAAACCAACGGGAAAGACGTTGAAATTGAGAATAGAATACAAAAGCAAGGCAGATCGCACCCACAATGCACAACACATGCTACCATGGATTATGGAAGTGCTGCATCGACACTGTCAGTAATGATAAAACGAATGAGGACGATGAAATTGTAAGGTGACAACGGCTGTGATTGCCCCATTCGGCCACATCTCCTGTTCCTTCTAGCATATATAGATCACGCGAGGGTGCAGCAAGCGAGCTTGTGTCGCGCCTACCAGGACATCATAGACGCACTCAGAATGTTTAGATTCACTGCATTTTCTAGACTCTAACAAAAACGCATCGCACCAACGACCATTGAAGAAGTCATAAGAAGTCCCCATTCTGACTTCTCTGTTGATGCGCAAGTGTGGTCCAAGGCTCCACCCCACACCGGTAGCTTGGTTACTCATTTTCTTTTGATGGCAACAAAGATCCGTTCGAGCCATCCACCTACAGCAAGTCATGCTGACTCATACTGGAGGAACAAGCCCTTCTCAGCAGAAGATCCTTCGCTTCTTCATTGCGTCCGGCTTCCCACTGACGGCAGATGCAGTCTCACCCAAGAGCTTCCGAACAGCTGCCGGGAGACTGCCGTTCTGGAGCATCGCCTGGACTTCCTCGTCTTGGGAGCCGAAGTGTGCACAAGCTCTCTCCAGCCTCTCCAGCCCTTTGAGCGACGCAGCCTCTGCGATGTCCACGAAGCTGCTGGCATCGATCATGTCACGGAGCGCATTGCATAAGGTCTGCACCACGCCATGAACTTGCCAGCGGTGGGCCAAGTCCAAAGCCACAAGCATGGTCTTATGGTCGGGGTCTTCGCGAGTGGAGCTTGTGTACAACAGATCTAGAAAGAGCGACACGCCTGAGGATGAGGAATCCTCGATTTCAATGCGCAGGCTGGACCCCTCCTTCATATCAGAGGCGAGCATGGCCTTCAAGACTGGTGATGCTAACATCAGGATCTGGTCGTGTGCTGACACCTCTCCGTCTGAACTCTGGAAGATCACATTGTGCGAGGTGGTCAAATCACGCATGGACTCCCACAGGACTAAGGTACTCTGAGGCACAGCAACCTCTGCACACTCGGAACCCCTGGAGGCATTGAAACGTGCAACCAGAGCAAGGAAATCTTTCAGATACGTCTTCGTTAATGACCAATCCTCATTGGCAGCCTCGAGCATCTCGAGCCATGCAAAAGCAATCGAAGCAGCGGAATGCCCACCACATTCAACCGTAATGGTATTCTTGGAATTCTTCCACAGAGACCACCGACACGTGTTCTCAACCGGAAGCTTCTGTCTCGCATCAGCTCCAACCCTTAAGAGCCACTCAGCAATCTTGAGGCATTGACTTCTCGCAGCAACATCTTCAGAAGCAGCTAAGTTGTAGTTCAACACGCAAATGAGTGCAAATAGCCCGTCCTTGCCCAGAGGCTGAGTCCAGTCAAAACTGCGTGGTGTGAACGCCTGCAGGCTTTCCAGATCGCGCAGCTTGATGAAGCCATGAACCATATCGGCATCACTCGTCGCTGCCATGGACTCGTCGCAAGTTTCACCACCGCGCCCCACCCTGGCTCCTCCCTGGCTTGAGCCGACGCTCTGAAATTCTTGATCCTAGGCATGAGTGAGCAATCTCTCCCCGGCGCCCCATAATCCCGTAGAGGGGCTTTTAGAGTTTTGAGTTCAGTTTTTTCAAGAGCCAAGACATTGGAAACCTTTTAAAAGCTTTCACCAAAAGGCAACGCTGGAATGCTCGTGGTCCAGGCTGTCCGCAAACGGATTCAGAAAGGACACCCGGGAGAACGGTATGGGCTTTCAGACCCAAGGACCAAACAAAACATGAAAGCCCCTTTCACTGCCCTAAGCCCCAAAGCCTGCACCCTAAATCATAAGCCCTAAACCCCAAACCCTAAACCCAAGAAAGCCCCAAAAAGCTTTCCCGGCCCGGCCTGGAGGTGACTTTCTTCTTCGGCTTCTCTTGCTTGGCTTTCGGCTTGGCGCGCGCCTTCGATTCTCATCGAGTTTAGGGTTTAGGGCTCTAGCAAATCCTGATCCACAGCCCACAGACCATGAATCCAGACAACCGACCTTCTGCACGCGCTTCTTCGCGGCTGCGACGGCGCGGCGCACTTTGGCCGCTTCGACGTCGGCGGGGGTGCCTGACCCCAGAGCCCCACTCACCAAAGAAGAACTTGCGGTTCTTGGAGGTTCATGGGTAGCTATAAGTAGGCTTATAGGTAGGACAGCTAGAGTTATAACCTATAATCGGAGACCTACAACTCCACTTATAACTACCCATGAACCTCCCTTGACGAGGGCCTCAGATCCCGGGCTTCGGGTTAGGGGCACTTCCGGCTTTGCGAACCATCCTCGGCGACTATCCCTTTCAACGTGGGGCTTCGAAGCCCTGGCCTCCGAATCGCTACCAACGACAGAGAAGAAATGGTCAGAAACCTCCCTGATGCTCGGGTCGAAAGTGTGAATTCGAAGGGTTTGAAAAAATGGTGTTACTGCGGGTTGGGAAGCGAGCCAGTGCATATTCTTGAGTCTGCAGAGCCCAACACACCCTCACCGCTCAGACGGAAACTGTGAATGTTATGTTCCGTCTCCTTTCGAAGTGAAGCTGTGGGGTGGTTTGAAGAAGGATTTCCATACGAAGTCTCTCACAACGTCCCCAGCTAAGCGTAAGACGGTGACGAATTTGAACGCCCCGGCCGCCTTGACATCACTTCCATGACGACTAGCTCTGCTCTAAAGCCAATCACGGCACAGGCACAGAGCTGCAAGATATGTCAATTTCCGAATGAAAGGAACTCCTAGAATCCTCCAAAGCCGCTCTGCCGGGTCCTCTCCACAAGCCCTTGCCCATGCTGCAAGAAGCCTACACTAATGCCACAACATTCCCCAAGAGGCGACTACATTGAAGCAGCTTTCATGGCTTCCTTGGAGTTCCAGCTAAAGCCCCAAACCTCACAGAGGCTCCTGCAATTCCTGGAGGCCCACGGAACCTGATAGAAAACCTTATAAATCCCTTCAGGGACCCCTTTATGGAACCCTCTAGAAACCCTCATAGATCCCTTTAAGGACCCCCTTATAGAACCCTGTAGAAACCCCTCAAAGATCCCTTTAAGGACCCCTTGATAGAACCCTATAGAAACCCTCATAGATCCCTTTAAGGATATAGAAACCCTCATAGATCCCTTTAAGGACCCCCTTTTATGGAACCGGAACCGAGCGTCTCCCGCCTGATTGCTGCAGCTCCCGTGGCACCAACGAGGACCTTCGCCTCGCCGGCTCTCCGCTTGGCCTCGTCGCTTGGTTTAGGGTTTAGGGTTTCGGGGTTTAGGGTTTCGGGGTTTAGGGTTTAGGGGTTTAGGGTTTAGGGTTTAGGGGTTTAGGGTTTCGGGGTTTAGGGTTTCGGGGTCTAGGGTTTAGGGTTTAGGAATCTTTGCAAAGGGGCGTGGAGGGCATGGAGCATGTTGAGTAGGGAGTCTTGGGTTTTCGAGAGATTTCGGCCGCTCGGAGCCTTGAAACCTGGGGCTTGGGCTGTAGCTGACGCCAAGCCTACATCCAGCAAGCTCAGAGACTGCTCCGTGGAAGGCAGGCAATGCAAGTTTGCAGACAAGTCGCACAAGGAGCTGCGTGGCAGCCTGGACATTGCCGAGGTGAACGGAAGATGCAAAGATGATGATCAGAACAAGCTGGCAATTCTCAAGCTGAACCATAACCACAAGAGCTGCAAGAGTCACCCTCGCAGCCATCGGCAACATGGAGCGTCATCGTCAGCAGTTTGTTCGTCGGCACAATAAAAAAAAAGTTCATGGAGCTCATGTCTGCGCAAATTCCAAACCTCAAGGTTCCAAGCCACAAGTCTAACCTGCAAGCCGTATAGGCCTTACGAACAGAGGGGCCTGAATCTTCAGAATGGGGTTTTGTGCATGCCGGGGGCCGGGGCCTGCCTTCAAAAGGCCAGGGGATTCACAAGCAAAGCGGAACTGCCAAGCCCTAAACCCCTAAACCCTAAACCCAAAACAACCAAAAATGCAAAAAGGTCCCAACATGTCCTAGAAGCCCGGAAGGCCTGCGGCAGCGCAGGCGCGGAATTCGTCAGAGCCGAAGGCCTCGCCTCCTTCTTTCTTGGGTGCGTTCCGGTTACAAAGAAACCCGGGTGCCAATACCCCTTGTTTAGATATATATATATATACACACAAATAAACAAAAAATATATAAATAAATAAAGAGAGAGAGAGAGAGAGTAAATACCTGATAGATAGATAGATAGATAGATAGATTGATTGATTGATTGATTGATAGAGAGAGAGAGAGAAAGACAGATAAAGAGAGAGAGAGAGAGATAGATAGATAGATAGATAGATTGGTTGATAGATAAAGAGATAGAGAGATAGATACATGGATAAATAGACAGACAGACAGACAGACAGAGAGATAGATAGATTGATTGATTGATAAACAGATCGGTGGATAGATAGGCGAATAGATCAGTAGAGAGACAGGTAGATAGATAGGTAGATAGATAGGTAGATGTAAGTACAATACACAAGGTTTCTGCGTTTGGCTTCGTTTGATCTATTTGTGTCCTGTGGATTCCCTTTGTACACATGGAGACACTTCACCTATCGATGTGGTCCGAGGTTTCTGTCAGAACGGGCTGTTCAACGAAGATCTGTCAACGAGAGCGTTCACGCAACAGAGTTCCAGTCTCATTACCATTTCTGGGCGGAGTGGCGTGGGCCCGTCCAAGTCACATGCCCTATGTTCGTTCGATCCTTTTTGCTGACCAACCCTAAACCCCAAAACCTCCAGACACTAAACCCTAAAACCTCCGAAATCACTAAAACCCTAAATCCCTGAACCCTAAATCCCTAAAACCCGAAATCACTAAAACCCCAGCCCCGCCCATGATCCTCCGTCACGGGTTTCGCGGAAGTCTCGGCCTCCGTCCTAGCCACAGCAGTCCCAAGCCAAAAACTCAGAGACCACAACCCTAAAACCCAAGTAAGGGCTCAGGGTTTAAAAGCTTGGGTATTGAGGGTTTAGGGCTTAGTTTAGGCTTTAGGGTAGGGCTTGAATTTGAAAAAGCGCCAAAGTTCCAGAACCCTTCGTTTGGAGAGGAGCGTTTCATCTTGAACACAAGGGGGAATTGCGGGGTTCAAGAAAGCCTGCCGCCGGACCGGCAGCCTGGCTTCAAGCTTGGCGCAAAACTGACGCTGCCCGAAATCCCTTCAACCCTCAAGTACACCATCAAACCCATAGCTTGACACGAAAGGCAAAACCTCTAGCAACCCCCGTGCTTCTATCCGAAATATCCCTACGAACCCATGATCCCTCAGCCCTGAAGCCCCAAAAATCCTCAAAGCCCAGGAACGGCCCTGAGCCCTACGCCCTACGCGTGCCGATCATAGCCAGGAGGTCCGAACCCGAAAAGAACCCTACAAACCCAACATGAGCCGTTTACGGTTTCGGGCTTAGGGTTTAGGGTAACCCCCAACCCTATGAAGCCAACAAACTCCAACAGCCCCGTGGAGAGCCAAAACAAAAGGAAACGTCCTCGGAGCAGACTGGCTGCGGACCTCTTCCTGGAAAGTGCATTTCGGGGGTTTAAGGTTTAGGGTTGGAGCACACGATTAGTTCTATAAGGGTTACTCTGTCACCATAAACGTACTTTGAATGGTTTCAGGATTTAGGGGTTTTAACGTCTTCGTTTCAGAGTTGAGGGTTTGGGGTTTAGGGGTTACAGTGTTCAGGGTCTGAATTTTTTTCCGGACATTGTGGCTTAGAGTGATTTATCACGGGGGTGTGCGAAGGTTCCGATAAGCCCTAAACCCCAGGCCCTAAACCCTAAATCCTAAACTAAGAGTTCCTTTAAGGGCTCCTTTCAAAGCTCCTGGAAGACCCGAAGAATCCAAATGTCTCCTGCGTTCCCCTGCTCTAAAGTTTCTAGCGACGAGGATGCCTGCTGAATTAGAGGTTTAGGGTTAGGGGTTTAGGGTTAAGGGTTTAGGGCTTTAGGGTTTAGGGTTTAGGGTTTAGTAGGGAATGTTCTTTCATCTGGAGTCGGCCGATCTAAAAGCTCTCGTATCGAAATCCGATGCGTGCCAACCTCAAACCAAACCTCAGCACCCCGAAAGGAGTAGTGATAGTAGTAGTAGTAGTAGTAGCAGCAGCAGCAGCAGCAGTAGCTGTTGTTGTTGTAGCAGCAAGCCCCAACAAAGGCCGGTGACCGGACGCTGAAGACATTCAGCAAAGCTTCTACGAATAGGGACTCTCCCACATGTGGTTCACGGCTTAGCATTTGGGTCTGAAGTTTCAGGTTTTAGGGCTCGGAGTTTAGGCTTTAGGGTTTGGGGTTTTGGGGGTTTACGGTTTGAGGCTCAGGCTTAAGGTAGAGGGAACCAAAATGCATCCGGAGTCGTTGAACCGCAGCTCCACACGCGTACAACTCCCTGCAAAGTACAAAAGACTCCTCATGCAACCCAGAGCGCTGTGGAAGCCTGCAAAACCTCATAAAGCCCCACACACATAAGCAGTGAGCTGCACTCAATGGTGCCCACTTCTTAGCCTTAAGCCTCTTTTTAAGGGCAATCCAGGAGGTG